TTGTTTTTCGTTCGGTGGGCTGATGCCTTTAGTGTAGCTTTTGCCTCTTCCGACATAGAAATCATCTGAATCTTCTTTCTACCTCTCTTTCTTTTCACACCACGCATAATGTAATGATAAAAATTAAGAAAAACAGTGAGGAAATATAATGTTTGGTTTGCTAGCGAGCGAGAACCGAGTTGAGAATAATTGCACATGCGCGTGAATTGAATGAACTATGACCCGTACAATCTCGATTTGCATATTGTCAATCAAAGGTCTTGTTATTTGGTTACTCATGCAAATTAGGCAATTGGACATAAACATTGCCACGTGTGAGTGTTTTTTATTTTTAACCAGAAAATAAATAGGAATTTTAACGGTGTTCCAATAAGAATTCATTGGTCAAATTTTCACAGAATGTTCTTTAGATAAAAATCTATATAAAAAACGAAAAAAACTATTTTTGATTGAAATTCACAAATAAAGTGCATCTCTACCTTAAATATTGTTTGAAACATAGCAAACATTATTTGGGGTTTTAGAGCATTATTAATAATAATACCATATAGTGCAAATTATTAACACTTTAATAAAGATTTTCTTTCTATTGTCTGTAGTTTTTGATCACTTAACAAGAAATAAAGTCACTGGTTAAATTTATTTAGGATAAAGTTTCTTTTGCACCCTACCCCTAACCCTCAGTCTAATCGTCACCTCCAGCACCAATTTAAATTTTATATACCGGTATGATCTTTAGAAAACTATAGGTGTCCTTAGGAGGGGAATATACAATGAAATTGGGGGTGCTTGGGAATTGGGGTAAGGTTAGGGGGTTGGGTGGAAATAGAATTCTTTCATTTATGTAAATTAACTAGGTTAGCAATACTATTAACACAACAATCTTGTTCTTTCATTTTTATTAATACTTATAAATTGCAAAGGTAGTTGAATCTAAACAGGCAATCAAAAAGCACCGTGGGCAATGACGTCATTTGACAGTGTTCCAATGTTATTACATTGGCCAACTGTGAAATTTATAAATATTTAATAAAAATGAAGAAAAGAGTTTGTTTGTTGATTGCAACTGTACTGCTGAATGATCTAATAAGGTGTTACAACCAACATTCAACGTACACATTGTCAATTTCGCCATCACATCATGACCCTACTCACCTGTAGACCCACTCTGGGGGCACGGTTAGCGGTGGTCAAGCCGTGGGATGACATCTTCCACAGACCCCAAACAAACAAGGACACAAAGAAAAGGTCAAATTAAGTTGGTCGGGTGTCAAAGCTACATCTGATATGTCAGATTATTTCTCCGGAATGCTTGCCTTTTCTTGGTTTCCACGATGACTGGAATATACGTCTGGTAATTGGTGAAATAGTGTGGTATTTACGGTAAGAGGTGCTTCCGGGATCCAATAAAACGGAACATGGGGCTTGGCCCACTAAAGTACCCGGATTATCCCCAGTGCGCTTGCTCAGAAAACAGCTGGTAAACAAATACAACCGAGAAGTCGCACGTGTTTCCGGAGAGTTCATGTCAGGTCAGAAGCTTTGAAGTTCTAGGTCACGATAATCCCGATCACCAGGTATGAGCACAGATGATTCAGTCGACCTAGGTCATGACTGCCCGGGAAAGACCATGGAGCTCCATGGTACGACTGTCACATTCTGTAATTAGAGCTTTGCCTCCACAGGGGACAGACGATTTATTCGTGTGGTTGGTTGCTGAAGCCAAGTGTAACAAGTACAATTTCACATATTTTGAGGGATGGTATGTGTATCCCTGTACATATTCGTTCTGCGTCGTAGACGTCCATGTATTGACTTCAGCAACCAGCCACACGACGGACCACACGAATAAATCGTCAGGCCCCTGAGGTTGCGTCCATGCGAATCCCACGATCTCGCGGGCGGGATGTAAACATACTACCCCAGAAACCCTTTTACAGTTGTGGGGCGACGACCGAATAAACGCACCTCATCTTGCGAGCATGAGTAATTAACGACCAAAACAATAAAACGAATTCTGACAAGTCTGTAAAAGTAAATGCTTCCGGCGATTCGATGACAATTAATACCATCAAATATGTTACATAAATAGTGATTATAATCAATTAATTCAAGAATGGAGTACATTTCCATTTACTCTCTATAAACTAGAAAAAGTAAGGTATCAGAAAGAAAATGAAAATAAAGAACATTTCTTCATGGAATGTCTTACATACTAAATTGTAAAACAAAAGTTATTTAGTAATACGTTGTATCAGTATTCCAAAATAAATAAAAAAGCGATGTTCAGACATTTAAATATATTATGAGTTTGAGCGAAGACATATAATAATAAGTTCAAGAGTGGTAGTCGTCGCGCAGCGCGTGTACGAATTTCATGTAAATAAACAATGTATTTGACACACGTTATATACGTCGCTATGAGTCCCATATCGAACAGGATGCGGCACGACGAGCACCGCCCTTTAAACTGGTGAATATTTATACAAAATGTTTGAAATTAGAAATAGCAACAAAACTGACATTTTGTTGATGCACAGAACCAATCTGATGAACTGATGGCAAAACGAAGAGAAGTATTATCTCTGTATCGTCAGATATTGAGACATGCTCAGAAATGGGAGTCAGAGAGTACACTTCCAGAAGACACAAAAACAGACCAGAGTTACATCAGAGCAGAAGCCAGGTCACTGTTCAAGAAAAATAAAGAGGTATTTATATAACACTTATTTATTTTTTAATTTATATACGTGTATTCATGAAAAAAATTTATTAGCATGTTGCAGTAGAAAAAAGAGGTGGTCGTCGCTCCACATGTACGAGTCTCATACAAACAAGATGGATGGTACAAAAATGTACCAGTTATCACAATGCGATGAGCACACATGTGCAGAAACAATTTTGAATGTTGCACAGATGAGGTTATATAAAAGCCAAGGATGCAAAGCTTTGTATACTCTGGATGAATTCCCTAACTGCCATGAGCAAAACTCGGATGCGTTGCCATAGTTGCCATTAACACTTGCCAGGAGATGAAAAAGTAGGTTCCATAGTTCATGATATTATTCATTAATTCAACAGTTCCTCATTTTGATATTTTTGTTGTTTACAAAAGATAACTGAGATAAATAAGATAGATACCTGCATTAAGGAGGCTGAGACAAGAATTCAGCTTGGTGAGTTATGTACAATTGTTTTAATATAAGATCGCTAAATGATACGTCTTTATGCAGTTACGTACATGAGAATGAATTTTTCCTTCTCGCACATGATTAGTGTATTTGGTTTCACTTAGGGTGCAATATCAACCATTTAATTAAAGACTCACATTGTTCTGTAAACAAATTTAGTTGCATGGAATGCTATACTAATAATTCTAAGCTGATTGAAATAAGATCCTAGTTTGGGCTCACTAGATTTTGCCTCAGTAACCACCAATTGCAAATTGAAAAAGGGAAAACATACCAAACCAAAAAACCCCAGAAGAAAAAAAATATGTGAGGTATGTTCGAACACTTTGTAATGTCATGTTTACTTTATATTGTTACGAGTTTGGTTAGTGAGTGCATATTTACTTAGTTATGTAACTACATGTATTTTAATTCCTTCCGAGGAATAAATTGAAAATTGAAATTGGGTTTTTTGTATTATTATTGAATCTAGTGGACAAAGCACACACTGAGAGTCTTTGCTGTTTATATGTATGTGAATGCATGTATGTATATTTGTGTGTTTATTCCACTGACGTCTCAAGAACCAATCATCAAATGTCACTGATATTTGGTTAATACTTGATCTGGGATAATGTAATTACACTGTACATGATTTTTTTTTTTATTGAAATCTGTGCATATTAATTATTAATTTTCATCCTAATTATCTCAACAACAAAACAACAAATTTCAATGAAATTTAGTAAATAGATGTTTCTGGGGTAATCCACAGACCTGATTTGATTTTGGAAGCAATCTGTGAATATAAATTATCTAATAATTTGTTGCTGTTCTCAGATGTCTCTTGTGCTGCATAGGTGCTTTTGGATAATCCACAGACTTGATTATTTTAGGGTTGTATCCATGCATATTAATTACTTAGTTTGCATCAATTAATTTGCTAATATTTTAATAACTAATCATCAGATTTAAATTAAAACTTGGTGCCCTGGGAAAAATCACAGACTGCAAATCTAAGATGTGACGCACAATTTCAATTATTTCTTTTGCAATTTAATAAAAGTTTTCTTTTAATATTATGAATTTCAACACTATGGATCAGATAGCTTTCACAATATCAACTGTGAAGATTAGCACTATTTTAGTCACAAGGCCTCATGTTGAAGAAAGTTCATCTTTAAATTTATATTAAATTTAAATATTCTCCATCTCAATTTCATATGCCTCTAATCCTCTCAGCGTGCATTTTTTGTCATATATTTAAATTTGTTTTTTATTTTTTGTAATCATAACACAAAATATGATGTGTTTAAAAAACAAATTACAAAATAATAAAAAATATAGTTTAAAACATAAACACTATAAAGTCTATGTTTAAATTAAATGCAATATATGAAAGAACAAAAAATTCATTCTGAACAATACAATATTTTTATCAGATTGCTAATAATTCATATCTTTTTTGTTCAGATATTTAGAATTTTATCAAAATGAATGCGAGATTTTTTTTTTTTTTTTACAGCTTTACATTATAAGAATCCGCATCCTAGACCCGTAAGTAATCACAGTTACCGGTACCATGCATTGCTTTCATCAAGAGGGCGCCCTTCCAACTTGAAAAGGACAAGTGAAGTGAAAAACTGAAATGTTTTCACTGTTTGATTTCACAAGGAAACACTCATCAATTTGGCAATACATGTCATGTTGTCTTTTATAAAACTTATCAAAGCTATGTCAGCTATGATTTTACTTTTTGCACCCTCTTCATGAAATAGATGTATATATTTTGTCAAATTTGTATGCAACATTTTGCAATTTTGCACTTTTTTATGTATTTCTGTATACAAATGTAATTGCTTTGTTAATTTTGGACAGGGACTTTTACTAGGGTGCTAGGTAATCACTGACTTTTACTGGGGTCCTAGGGAGACCCAGTGACGTTTACTGGAATCCTCGAGAAACACAACAGTGACTTTCACTGGGGTCCTAGGAAGTCACAGTGACTTTCACTGGGGGCCTAGGGAGTCACAGTGACTTTCACTGGGGCCTAGGGAGTCACAGTGATTTTTGTGAGTCATCTTCATGAATGCCCTCAAAGTACCAAATTGTGACAATTTATAGTAGCACCAAAAAAAATTACAGAAATTTTTAATCAGGTTTGTCTGCTTTGAATTTCAGGTAAACATTCCGTACATGGGTATGCCACTATCACTGAGTAAAGGCAAGAAATCACAAGACAGACTTAGAAAACAAGCAAAGCCACTTTATTTACACTCTTATGATGAGCAGGAGTGAACTGAACATCTTTTACAACAGTTGATATAATTGGCTAGTCAAAACAACTTGAAATGTAACATCATTTCTGATTGGTTGATAGTTGATCACATGATAGAGTGTTCTCATGTTTTTAAAAATGACACTTTAGAAGCTGCTCAATTCAGCAGTAAATGTACACAAACCAGTTTAATACCTACTGAAAAGCTAACAAGTTTGAAAGTTAAGCTAAACTAAATATTAAACAAAACAGTAATATGTCTTGGGTAAATTATAATAATTGAGTATTTGTTGTATAGATATGGTCATATACATGACTATGAGCCATGGTCATCACTTCTATATTATGTTTGAATGCATGTGATGTTGATTTTAACATGTGCAGTAATGAAGACAGCGCCCTCTTGTGACCAGACCCTTTTCATGAACCATTCATTGCGTTGCTATGATGCAGTTACATACCAAGCAACACTATAAAGGTAGAATGCTGCTCATTGGTTATTAAAAATGTCTCACAATGCTATAGTTTGTGTCAAAATCTGCCAAATTCCCACAGTTTCAATCTGTTTTTTGAGAACAGCTTTCAAAGCATAGAATATGAAATTTCAGCAGTTTTTTTTACATGTAGACCACAGTAAAAATATTTCGTTGTTAATTACCTGCTGAAAGTCAATGTCAATTTTGTACTTCTTCTTGACAATAACAAGGCACTATATATCCTTTTTTTCACTTTATGTGACAGAGAAACAATCGTAAAATGTTCTAAAACATACAAAACATTCTACACATCGATCAGTCTTCATTTCTCAACTTTTTGGAACTTACTTTTGTATTGATACTATATCAGTAATCCATGTAGATTCCATTTCATATGCATATTTATTTTTTATTTTTCACATTTACCATGCTCTGGAAACGAAATTTGGGTCATTTTCACGTGTCTGTGTCATTACTCGGACCTGTCCCAACTGATAGGGTGTACTTCTGTTATTCACGCACTTGAAAAGGATTGACATTTTCAAGGTGTTCAATGGGTGTTAGAGGCTTTATTCAAGGCCTGCTTTGAAGTATGGGTACCAACTTTCAGCAACTTACACGGGCTGACGACACAACTCCAGAAACCATATTAGCATTTTGAACTTTGGCAAAACAGACAGACACTCCAGATTAAAAGGTCTTAGATATATATGTACGTGCATGTTTGAATAAATAGCAAAAAATTATACTTGTTCCTTTCTTTTTTAAATGAATATCTCTAAATCCCTGCTACTGGCTGTCACCGGAGTTTTTTTTTTTTAAATTACTGACTAAAATACAAAGTGATTTTGAATCTACACAATCTTATAAAACAATATAAGTTTGATAGTACTGTTTAGATTCACTTCAGAAATAAACTTTTAAATGTATCAGAACGTGTTTATCATTGAAATTAAAAAAAGTGTAATTTCAGGTCCAGCGTTTTATCGTCTTAACCCTCGAATTGCGCCCTCTGGCGTCAGGGTTTTGCCAGCTGAGGGCGTCATACACTACCGTCGGGTGTTTTATAACACTCTGGTTTCGATTCCAACGTTCAGAAAGCGCAAAAAAAAAACATTTCCTGCCAACGGCGTCTCTTGAATTAAACCATTCCTATATCTAAGAATATAAGTAAGAGCTCCTTTTGAAGCTTTGGGACTTGGTTAAAAGTGTTCTCGACATTTCAACGGATATCGAGACACTTAGTGAATTGATGTAAATGGATGGATTGATGTCATCTCATGCGTCGTACCAATTCATTAACCTTAACCCTTAAACAGAGTATCATCCACAATTACACGTGGTTTTGAACCACAGAACGAATCAATAATACGTATCACATTATGATACAGAACATTGACGCCAAGTATAATGAATGCACCGTGAACTTATTCCGACAACTGTTCATTTCCCGGGTTTCATTCTACCCTCGCGTTGTTAGTCGGAAATTTATGCAGTAAACTTTACCCATCAGTGATCAGTACTGAAGTATAATTAGCGTTTGTTTTATCCCGAATGCACAAAATGTCAAAAAACTAAAGATGTCGGGCGCATCTAACGTATAGGCTTTCAAATAGATGAAACGCCTGGGGGATTGTCACTACTCATTTTCATCGAGAAATCACAGCATTGATGATGTCTAAACTGCAGCATCTTACATTTGTAGATAGAAAGAAAAAGAAAAACAAAATGTGCGGCATCTGTAATTTTGTCACGAACTAATTTTAAATTACCTGATGGCGCTTTTTTAAAAAAAATCCCGATCTGTTCAGCTATGAATAGAAAAACATCGTACAGCTCGTTAGTACAGGATTGTACGTGGGCCGTTGAAAGATTGTTGTGAATGTGTTTTCCAGATTTTCTACGCGATTATAAGCGATAAGCCTAAATTTAGATTTATGAAATTAAATTCTGAAGTTTATAATATGAAACATCTTTTGTAGTTACTATGTATTAAGTAAATCATAATACAGTATGTATACGACAAAACCACGGTGTACTGTTTTACCCACAATTCCCTTGCTGTAGTTCGCTTTAACAATATGCGAAGGTAAGCTTGGTCAACGCTGAGCCCTCAACGGTAACTTTGACCATGATTCATAAAGCTAAACATTTTTTCCGAATTATAAAATTACTAGAACACAAGAGTCGCGGCGACCTTATTAATTACTCTCCTTTTTAAAAAAAATGCGTGGGTATACTCGTGATATCGATATGGTAACGTTGACCTTTCTCTGACGTCATATACGAAAAGAGCGGGGGTAAAATGAATTATTGAATGATTGGGGAAACTGTACACCTCACAATGCAAAGCCTCATTTATATGAATATAGTGGACGAATTAAGTTAATAAAACACGTACACTAGGATTGTTGAGTAAATTATTAGCTGATTTCAGAACAGAATATTTGGCTTCATGCTGTGTCACGTAAAACAAACTATTCAATATTAATATTCAATGTATTGGTCACAATATATATGGTGACGTCAGGCTCAATGTGATTTTCACGTTTGTTTGTTTATTTTGAGCGTGAATGTTGAGTGGATCACAGTCCCTCTATCCCTTTATAGAGGGACTGTGAGTGGATGAATAAAATTAGTGAATCTACACGAGGGTATGCTGTTACCCCCCCCCAAAAAAAAAGTCATTTGTTTCATATTAGGTGAACTTTACCTTGGCGAAAATCTACGTTGAATTACAGCAACAATTAAACTTGTTGCGAAATTTTTGGCTCGGGTGTTTTTTTTTTCCTTTTATTTTATTATTTTATCACCAAAAGCTTCGTTAAATGTCACGTATGTTAACATGATGAATGTTACAATGACGCGCAGTGGAGTAAAGAAATAACAAATATACATATTCACATAAATACTGCAAAGAATATTCGTACTGTTTTCTGTCTTCCCACGTCAAATACGCGAACAGCTGGAGGGGTGAAGTGGCAAACGAGTATTCTTTGAATTCGACGATGCGGATATTTTAATCATCGATACTACATATATGTCATGTCACGTGAGGTCACCGCGTCCTTTATTTCGATATCTAACAGACCATTGCACAAAACACAATTCTATGCTGTGTTTCCATGGAAACCAGCATGGGCATATTGTAAATTAACAAGACAAAACAAAATATAAAGATATTAGTATCAGTATATTTTTGAAGAAATTGTTAGTTATAAACACTGGCAATTTTTCCATTTTTTTATGATTGGTTCCTATGGTAACCATATGTCATTTGGGAAATTTCCAAAGCAAACATCAATTACATAATTATTAACAATTATTAACCGTTCTACAAATTTTTGAAATTTAATAATATATATTAAATAAATTATTTATCGTCATGGTCCTACGTTAATGTTGCAGAAAATCAAACGAGTGTCCATAAACACGACATCGGAACATTCACTAATAATAACATTATGATAATGGGTAGATATGATTCAAAGAGAACGAAGATGTATAGTGATATCCACTTCGACATGATAGAATTCGACTGGCTGGTTCAAAATAATCACGATGCTGATGACGATGATTTTTGATTGTTGTTGTCGTTGAAATGTTTTGTTTTGTTTTGTTTTAGCGAGAAAGCCTTTTGAAAAATTAGTATATTCTTTTGAGCATGAACACACTCTAAACATACTCGGGAAACTCCCGGATCCCAGCAAATGAGTTCGCTTATAGTTACTAACTGTCAACTGTAATGCCAAGCTCAGCTGTGGTTTTGATTTAACACGTATTCGCTGATGAATAGTTCCCAGTTATAATATGCTTAAGGATACATTGGATAGTTGACAAATTTATGTGTGTAATTAAGATTTTTTTTATTTTTTCACAATTTTAAATAAGTCGATTTTGTTTATGAACGACAGTAGTAGTCACGTGACCGTCGACCACAATGCAATGCTGGTGAGCGACAATTCAATTATGGAACATATAATACGATAAGATTACGTAATGACAGGAGGTTGCCAGTGATTGAAATTGAATATTTCAGTAACACGTACATTAGTCAGAGTACGCCACATTGAAGCACCGCTGATGCACTCTCCAATGTGCTTATTTCCGCTTCAGACCATTTGATGGTTCGACGGGATTTTCTTTTAACGATGTACGATTTTCGTCTTATGTGTAAAAAAAAAATCTTCTGCACGTTATTACGTCATACACTCAACGCCGAGCAGCAAGCAATTCAGAAGATGATATACCTGAGTGACATTATGAGTATATTTTGAGTATACGACGAGAGTGGATGAAAAAGACGCGAGATTTGATATTGAGTTTTTTGGCACCATTTTATCAGATCTAATCAAAACTCGGGGTTTGTCACTGAATGATAAAGGTATGGCTGTGTAGATATAATTAATCCCCAGGAGCTTATCGACCATCGAACAGCCCGGAGTGAAACTCAGTCTCTGTATAATATGAATAATGTATGTTTCACACATGTCAAGTAATAATATAATGGCTTGCCGACAATTCACGCGGTGGGAAAGTTTAAAGGTGAAACAACACCGTTAACACGAACCTACGTCATTCATGGAAGTAGAAAACACAATCTCACCCCTGGGCCTAGTTGCTGCAATGGGAGGTAATAAAAGTGTAAATTCCCGTATCATTTGCCAAGAAGACATTGGCCTCAATTCACGAATGTCACAATGTGGTGTTAGACGAAATGTCGATTTCTCATATTCCGTAGTTCTCGGTAGCTCATAAGAATAGTATTAGTCCCGCAAAATAATATGGTATGTAAACGCGCATCTACATACGTAGCCTGACATGTAGGCGTGAGTGGCGTCCTCGCCGGCCGAACGGCGTCAGATCCTACTGTGTTGGGTTTGGAGCACCGCTGAGGGCGCATCTCACGCGACCTTGTCAGGCTATACATGTGCTGAAAGTTAATTATTAGTGTACCTGTAATTCAATATATAATGTTTTCGTTTTACGGTAGCTAACTGTCTTAACATGTTCCATCGAACACAATTTCTAAAATATACTCAAAGTATTAAAATGTTGGAAGATCCTATTTAGGGGGTACTTTGATGACGTTAATTAACGGCAACGATACAACTCAACAAATCCTAAATTCTTTAGCTTCAACAAGCTCGGATAATCATTTGTCGATTCTAAAAACCAGGTGCATACTTGCCTGGAACTAGACTACTAGTCATTAATTGATTGATACT